TTCTAAGTTAACAAATATTGCTGTAAATGTGGTAAAAGGCGACGTTAAAAAATTCACAACACTTTTTTAAACATTGTTTGAAGCTAACTGTGGCAAAATGTTGATGTTATTTTCAGCGTGAGCCACTTTACAAACGGCACCCCATAGAATTTTCTATCCATACATATAAACTTTAAATATATTAAAATTATAAGACATCTTTGAGTAAACTGCGAGTATCATTTAAGTAGGCTATCTCGTGGCCGGGGCGAGTGTCCTCTTTTTTGGAAATCAAAATATGGTCACCCTAATATATATATATATGCCCTTAAAAAAGGCAAACCCGTCTTTGTCATGTTTTTTTTTTGTAAAATAGTCAATAGCATCTGTCATAAAAGTATATGTTTATTCCAAATAAAGTTGTAAACTTGGTAAATGAATAACTTATTATTTTCTTCAGTATTTTTTGTCATATCCATTTATGCAATGATGATTGTTGGGTATGTTGTTGGGTATGTTGATGTCATTCAATATCAAGTCTCTGATCATGTGACGAGACAGTATGTGCACAGTTGCACTGCACTAGGGCCCATCATAATAGTAGGCACTGGGGCCTTCAGCAACTACCTTACGCCACTGGTAAGAGGAAATAACTCTCCATACCAGCAGACGGCAGTAGTTAGTAGTCTTCATTCAAAAAGGAAAACTGGAAAACTGTCTTGATGCTAGTAAGCCAGTTAGCACATTAACACCACACTCCAATGTCGAAAGAACAGAGTATATTTACTGTGTGCCAGTGTACAATAGGGATGTAACGATTACCGATATTGCAGTAAATCTCTGTTAATTTTTACACGGTAAGAATTACCGTTTATGTTTAAATTAATTGCATTATCGCGGTGGATTATCAGGATATGTAATAACAGCCTCATTAAAGTCTCGCGATGCAGGCGCTGCGTGAATGCGTAGCATGTGTAAACAAAAAGAATGAAAACATGACGGAAGGTGGTGATAGCGGCACTCAGGACATTTTCCCCCCAACTAAAAGCACAAAGTCTGAGGTCTGGGCGTACTTTGGGTTTCTGAAGAATGCCGAGGGACAGCTGGTGGAGGACAATTATCCTGTGTGCAGAACATGCAGAAAGAAAGTTGCTGCGAAGGGTAGCAACACTACAAAGCTGCTGGCTCCTCTCCGTGACCATCATCCACAGCTTTACAGCCANTCTCCGTGACCATCATCCACAGCTTTACAGCCAATGCAAGTTATGCTATGCAAACGTCAGTTATTGTGTGAGGGACTTCGGTTTTGCTGAGATTGTCATAATGTGTAACTCTGGACGTATACGGGACATTTGAGCCGTATCTGTCCTCCTAAACGGCGACTAAGTTTTCCGTTTTCATTAATACTAGCTGAGTAGCTAATAGCCGTATTAGCAGCTATGTTGCTAACGTTAAGTGTTTCAAAACGAAACGGAGCTGAAAACACTGAGCGGACCCGACAGAATATAAACCCACGTAACGTAACTCTAATTGAGATCAACTATGATTGAATCACTGTGATTATGGTTATTGTATGGCGAGCCAGAATCGATATAGACGGCCAGTTATGCTTTCTCGACATAAGCTCAAGGAAATAACATAAAACGCTGCCGTGTTAACCTTTGACCAAGAGCATGCTCTCCTTTTATCAAATTTTCCATATCGTTACATCCCTAGTGTACAATAACACAAACCATCAGGAAATGTTTCTGCTAAAGAGCTCAATGGATAAAGAAAAATAATCTGTCTTTATTTAACAAGTTTGTTTTGGCCTAATTCACTCTGGACTTGAGCTCTTTGTTTACTTTCCTCACTTCTGTTTCTCTTATCGTGCACTGAGCTGAACTGCCAATCAGAGTGATTTCAGTTACTGACGGGCTCCGTTGTCTCCGAGTCAACATGCTGAATCGGCCTGAAAAAGCTGACGGGGGCCGAGGAGGGGCAACCCTGCGGGACCCTGCAACCCTGCAACTGGGGCAACAGACACTCACTGGCGGCCCAACATTAACCGATGGCTGACTGTCGCCTTGGTGTGTCAGAGCCTTAAAGGCAGCTTAAACCAAGTGAATGACTTCTTGGCTGCTGTGGCACCAACTGTCATATCTTTCCCCAAAAAGGGGAAATTCCAAAAAGAAAAAGAAAGAAATAAAGAAAGGAAAGGATAAGAGAACAAACTGAGATTGTGAAAAATTTTTTTAAAGGTGTGTGAGAGAGACAGAGGAAGGGTAGGGGTCTCACAGAGACTGTTTATCTATAGGGCCCAGAATTTAGTGCTACACACCTATTGATCTGTAGATACACATGGCCCATTGTCGAAGTTACTCTCCACGTTTATTGTACAAAGATCCTACCCTGCTGTATAATACCATGTAAATCGATCCTGTTTGGGATCTTTGTGCAAAACCAGGCTAGCTCACATTGTGCTAGTTCATTTTTTTTCCTGTGAGTTTTGATCTTGTTTAAAGAGTTGGCACTCCATAAATCTGTCTTAACTTGTGTGTAAGCTTGTCATTGCAGATCAGGTGGCTTTTCTTTGTACTAGTCTTTCTTTGTAGTGCTTGTTTTAGAGCTGTATATTTATTTTGTATTTTTGTTCCATGTTGTCTGTCTTAAACGTATTTTGCTGCCTGTCTTGGCCAGGACACTCTTGAAAAAGAGATTTCCAATCTCAAGAGGTTTTTCTGGTTAAATAAAGGTTAAAATAAATAAATAAATGCATATACCTTCATGGGAAGATTATATAGCCAACAAAATACATAAACCGCAACCCTCAATATTATTTTACACAACCTTAACTGTAAATTGCTTAAACATAGGCTATATTTTCTTGTCAAAGTTCAAATTGCATTTTCCCTGTATTGATCAGATGTTACTGCTTTAATTGTTTTTGTTTGTTTGTTTTGTCTTGAATAGAACCATACAGGAACATAGGCTGTGAGTCGTTCTTTTTCACTCTATGCAATTCCGGCAGTCCAACCAGCACGTGAGGACATCCACAGGCTCCACCCTTAACTTCTTTCAATACAGTGGTTGTCATAGCGATGTGTTGCCCATAGAGATCACAGGTTGAAGTTTGTGTGACCAGTGGCGGAGCCAGAAAATTTTCTGAGGGGTGGCCAGGATGGTTATGTGATCATTTTGGGGTGGCAATGTCTCAATCGAAAATATATGGATATTTAGGGCACCTAAACCACAAACCTCCACAATATTTGGAATGCAGGTAATGGTGGAAAAGATCAAATAATACTCAGTGTATTTAACTTTTTTTCTTATTCCTGCAAGTAAAGTAAAAAAGATGCTTACACTATACAAATGTAGCACAATATACAGACTAGAGGGTGACACGGGAGTGGATTTTCAGTCCTGTCCCATCCCACTCCCACAAAAATAATCCCATCCCGTCCCAATCCCCTGAAAACGAAAGAAAAAAAAAAATCCTGTCCCATCCCGCTCCCGTGTTGTGTTTCAGTTACAGTAAAAAAAAATATGTATATACATATATATATCTATAGTACATGGATCACACAATGCCTACCTTAGTTGAATATAAACCCAAATATGACATCTAATGTTGTGCTTTGATGTTTATTGCCTAATTATTTTTACATTCACTCTACCTTGAAGCTGTTATGACAAACACATTTGATTTCTGTTGTGGTCAGACAACATGTCATAAGAACCAGTTCTGAGAGAGAAAAATGTAGTTAAAGTATTGCAGTAGAAGCAGTGTTTGGTTCCTCTGACTGATATTATTATATATGGCATCATTAGATTATTAATACTGAAGCATCAGTGTTAGAGCAGCATGTTACTGTTGTAGCTGCTGGAGGTGGAGCTAATTCCAACTACTTAAACACTTAACTATTGCTATTATGCTAGGCCTGTCAAGATAACAAATTTTGCTGGGTGATTAATTGCATCAGAAATTATTGCGATAAGCGATAATATTGCGTAATATTGTGCTTTTAAGACCATTTTTATTATTGTTGTAATTATGCTGTTTTTAGACCATTTTTTAAACTTATATAATGATAATAAAGGCATAATGATGTAAGTACACCATTTTAAAGAGAAATAAACATTTATTTAACAAGAATATTTACAAAAATATAAATATTCAAAATAACACATACAAATATCGGAATAAATAAATAAATACAAAGAAATAGACTGACAGTCTCTAACTCTCAGGTGTGCAGTTAAGTTGGTCGTATTCGCTCTTTATGTTGAGATGGTTTTAGAACAAACCCAGCACACCGGCTCGTCCAAATTACTGGGCTCCCCTCTGTCATTTAGTTTAAATCCAAAATACTCCCAAACAGGGGCCGTGGCGTTTGGTTTAAGAACAAGTACCCTGTCTTTCTCTTACACTCAACTCCGCGCTCCACTGCCTCGTCTCTATGGGGTGCCAAATGTAAAAACTTTATTACAGTTTTCAAACTGATATATTTTCAATATTTAGTTCATTTTCTTCACATTTAGCTCATTTTACACACATTTGAGACATAAATTATTTAAAAATTTGGTAATATGTGAACAAAAATGAAATGTTAAATCTAAATCTAAATGTTAAATGTTAAACCTAAATGTTAAATCTAAATCTAAATGTTAAATCTAAATCTAAATAATATCTAAATCTAAATGTTAAATCTAAATCTAAATAATAAATCTAAATCTAAATGTTAAATCTAAATCTAAATGTTAAATGTTAAATCTAAATCTAAATATTAAATCTAAATCTAAATGTTAAATCTATATCTAAATGTTAAATCTAAATCTAAATCTAAATGTCTCGCCGAGTGTAAAGCTAAATATTTAGAAAATCTGCAAATATCCCACGTCCCTTAAAGGCAACGGGCGCACAACCACGCCCACACCGCTGATCAGGGATCAGTAGGTGAAAGAGGGCCGCAGGGATAATCGAGACTCAAGCATGGCCGTTTCCCTGCAAGTAGAGGATATTGAACGGGCGGTTTTGGCGGGTGTGCGGGCTGCACTTCAAGGGGTAGTTCAACCGGTACCGTCCCCATCATTAACGGTAAGTCAAGTTTTAATATTAGCATTAACTCATTTATTCATCGCTAAGATACCTTGCTAACGTGACTCGGATGCTACCTAGCAAACAGTCAGCTAGCTTTTGCGTGCATGACGATCATTACTGTTGCCTTAGATTTTTTATTTGGCCGACATGTTGGCGGGTAAGCAGCGTCACACAACTAAATATTTAGATTAAAATGATTTGCAGATCTCTGGGTTGAGTCACTGTCGATTTTTACGGCATGTAAAATGTAGGCATGCAAAATAAGACAACTGCTCATCAGCATGCGTGGGAAAAGTTAGTGTTGAGTCCTGCTGGTAACAAAACCAAGTGCTCTATGGAGCTTATGTTCTGGCTCACTGTTAGCTGACATTTAATATTGTAGTGTTAAAATTATCAGTATGGGATGTTGTTTCAGGTCACCGCACCACACAGTAACCCACAGGCACTTCCAGCGGCGCCCACCAGCACGTCCAGCTTTGCCACCACGGTCGCATCAGTGAGATCAGTAAGTGAAGTTGAGAAATATTAGCTAGAAAAAGTTATTGTCACTCTTAATTGTCCATGAAACACATACATTGAGCTTAATGTCAACAAATTCTGCTGGAGCCATACATTTCCTTTCATCACATCAGTTTTTCCAGGTGTAAGGGGCACATTTGAAAATGCAGTTGTTGAAATGTCATCTTCTAATTTCATCTTTTTATTTTACATTGCCTTCAAATTGTTCTACAAGTGTACTGCCCAGTAGAATACTGCCACCCCCCCCCCCACACACACACAGACAACTAAACAATATATTAACACGTACGTATTAGCAATGTGTTTTCTTAGGTGGCATCCATATAATGATTACTTCCTGTGCATGACAAAATAAGATAAGATATTGTATTACTGAATGACCGGTGTGTTTCTTCCCTCTTTAAGGAGGGGAGTGCCATAATTTCTAAGGAGGACATCGAAGGTTTGTTGCTGCTGGGAACAACACTTTCCGAAGTTGCTTCAGTCCTGCGGATCTCCAGACCAACATTATACAAGCTGATGCGGGAATACAACATAAGACGAACAAAGTTTTCAAACATTTCTGATGAAGAACTGGATGTAACAATAAGTGAGATCAAGGCAGAACATCCTCATGTAGGAGAAGTTATGCTTAATGGACATTTGCGTGCAAGAAACATTCTAGTGCAGAGACGTCGTCTCAGAGACTCTGTAAGAAGGGTTGACAGAGCTGGCGTTGAGTCCAGAAGAACAACAACAATACAAAGACGAGTTTATACTGTGCCTTTTCCAAACTATATTTGGCACATAGATGGCAATCACAAACTCATTCGATGGAAATTAGTTGTACATTGTGCAATGGATGGTTACAGTAAGATGTTAACGTTTCTGCAGTGCTCAGCAACAATCGAGCTGAAACTCAGTCATCAGTGCACATGGTCGGCCTTTTCACATCCAAACTGATCATGGAGGGGAGAATGTCAAGATCTGTGAACACATGAGAGAGCATAGAGGTGAAAACTCTGTGTTGACTGGAAGCTCTGTCCATAACCAGCGGATTGAACGCTTCAATCGAGACCTGAACAGGAACTGCCGTGATGTGTTTGCACCTATTTTCTATGAGCTGGAGTCAATGGAGGCCTGGGATGTAGACAATGAATCAGATTTATTTTGTCTTCATTATGTGTACATTCCCAGGATCAACCAAACTTTGAATGAGTTTAAAGCTGCATTCAACAATCATTCAATTTCCTCTGAACAGAACAGAACCCCAGTTCAGCTTTTCACACTAGACAGACATCTTCTGTTACTTAACCATCCAGAAGCTGCAAATGAGGAAAGAACAGTCGACTTGGCATCAGCATCTCATGCAGACTACTCCTTTAGCACACTTAACCAGCAGGACATGCAGGAACTAGTTGCTGCAGTAAACCCTCTTGAACATGATGGTAACAAAGGAAAAACATTATATTACACAGTGCAGGAATTTGTATTCCACAAGATTGTAAATGTGTAACTGTAACACAGCTGCTCTGCTCTTTGTTGGCTCTGGTAAAAACAAAATAAAAACTTTTCTGTCATTTTATAGACAATCATAAAAATAACTGACAGATCATCATCAGAATCAACAATGTATCAATTAGTAGCGGTGAACATTTGGTAAAGCCTGTTAACTACAACATACCAATGACTTTGGAAAGACTAAACAGTTATTATTATGAAATGTCTTAACAGAAAAGAAAAATAAAATCAGAAAAGCCACCCACCAGTTTATTTATTTTAAGTCTATGCATAGCTATGTAATCTCAGCATTGTTTTGTTCTTTTGTTGACTACACTGCACTAAAAATGGCTCCATTCATGAGAGCCACAAGAAAATGGTAATCAAACTCATCATCATCGGCAAGATTCTTTCTGTTAACAAAGATCTGAAGCTCATTAGAGCATGTATGAGCGATGGGAAGGTGTTTCGTGTCATCATGGACGAAAGTTAGTTTTGGACTGGGAAAAAATCCAATTGCAGGTACTTTGGTGCTTCCTGTTGCAAAGGCAAGGATGTGTCCAGGATTCAGTGTCAGGATGAATGCCTTTTCTGCCTCAGTTAGGTTCCTAGTATGAAGACGTTCCCCAACCTCTTTCTCTACAAAGGTGAAAAAGGTACAAAACAACAGACAATAATAAATAACAAAATAAAAATAATACATTACAATCCATGTACAAGACAGAATTATTGCTTACATATCTTGAACTCAGATTATAGACAGTGAAATTCGAGTATTGTAATTCCTACAGGAAGGTCAATGTAGAGAAAGGGAAGAACAAACAAACAAACAACAATAACCTTTCATCGGGCTTTCTGACTGGTAGGTCACAACAACCCACTCATTCTGGATGAGTCAGAGACAGTGTGGCCCCAAATATTATTTAAATACTTAGCTATCAGATATCTGACTTATTTTGACAGAGGTGCATGAAAGACATGCATGTTAGCTGTTGCCGTGGTAATGCCACCATTAAATTAAAACCAGACAGGCTACGTTTACATTGTCCTTTGTAGACAAGATGGTCAAATGCAGATTTATCCTCGAGTATGTAAAAGATGTATTTACATACTGGATTACTGATAAAAAATGGACTGAAACCACAGTGTGCGACAAGTAACTCAGTCTTAGCACAAGAACAAGAACCATTAAAATTAATATATTACTTAAAATCAAAACATCACACATACAAGGATGACTCCAGATGAAAATTTCTACAAAATTCTTACAGATAATTATTTTTATTACAGTTGAACTAAGAATACAGCAATTCCAAGTGTGACATGGTCCAGTAGACAAAGTCATCTTTTTTTATTAGTTGCGTAAAAAGTGCATAAAACTTATTTGGCCTCTGAGTTGGGAATGGCAGAAAAGGTTTGAGAACCACTGCATTAAGTTTGCTAATCAATGAACACTGAAAAAAAATAACTTTATTATGTAAAATTGTTGACAGTGTTGCCAACTTTGACTCAGGCTATTTTATTCTAAAAAGGATGTGCACAGTCAGCATATAAAAGCATCAATATCTCAACATCAAATAAAATAAAATCGGGGCTCTGTCTTTTGGTGCTTTCATCACAATATGAACAATAGGTTAGTTATGCAGCCCCACTATTAATAATTTATTTACACATCAATTTACCTTGTACACAGTGAAGAAATTCTCTGATCTTCACCACCATTAACTCCTCCTTTGGTCTTCTGTTACTTCCTAGAACCGAGTAGTTGGGTTTCAGAAGGGTAGCCACATCTGCTGTGACATCATTTGGTTCTTCAGGCATATCAAGAAGGACCCTAAGGCAAGGGTTTTCTTTCAAGAGTGGCAGAACCTGTGAAAACAGAATTGACATAAATTATGCATCAATACATTATATTCTAGTACTTTCAATCTCATTATACAAATTATTTAACACTATTTTCACTACACACAATTAACGATCATAGTTATGTTCTCTTTCTAATGATTGTTTTTTTAAATTAGTCGATTAATCTAAAACCTTATTTATTGATTATTCTCAAGATTATTTCTTATTACTTGATATATTATAAAAATGTACCCCAAATAAATATCGAACTTATCTCACTGATATAAAAATACTTATATGATCATCTAATCCTGTTTTTTCAGTCTTCATAACTGACTGCCAATTGAGGGCATCAGCCTAGTAGTGTATTAACAGTAGGCTATTGAAAGTGCAAGTATTGAAATGGAATGGTTAAAATAAAGGCATGCATTCCATATTATGTTCAAGGGCCAAACAAATGTGTCTGAGGGCCGCCATAGGCCACACTTAGACTACCCTGATCTAATCTGATTTTTACTTTAGTTTTTACATTTTTACTTAAGTACTAGGCTGAAGAATTAAAATGGTTATTTTGACGTTACTGACATTATCACATTACTGGAGGAATATGCAGTTAAGATAATCAATGATACATGATTTTGATCATCAGTGTGAGGCAGGGAAAATAATAATAATTTACACTATGAACAATCTATAATGTTAGATAAAGCCATGTTCTTACTTGTGCATGGTTGCTAAAATAAAACGACAAACATGAAATGATGAATCGACAATCAGTCATATTACTTAAAACATGGAGAAAATAAAGAAAATTAGAGTCAGGTGACTTTGGAGAGAGCAATATACAGAGTACACATAAATTGATTGACTAAAGTTTTTGTAGGTGGACCTTCAGTAATATAAGTGTTTTGCTGCAGTCCAATCCACAGCAGCAAATTTCTTGCTGAGCTTCTTATATCAGTACTCCTGCTACTTCTCCAAACTAGGCATGTGCCAACTGCCTTTTACTATATGCTTTGTTTTGACTGTACCATTTTTAGAGCACACAATGAGACATGAGTGTTGCTGGTCCATACAAAATATATTTATATTGAAGATATGGCATGTCCAAACTGCACCAAGATCGACTATGCTCTTCCTTGGATCCAAAGCAACGCAATACATCGAGTATGTGTATATGTAGTATGTGTAAGTAGACTGAATGAATGTCTCTCAGCATACACAAAGGACAGTCAAAAAGAGAGATTCCTTTTTTTTATAGTTGTCACAATACAATTTTTCATTTGATTTAAAATTACTATAACATAGGGTTAGAAAAACAACAACCAAAACATAAAAAAACAGGGAAACAAACCTAAGGAAGAGTCACAGAGGAGGGATCTTTCACCCTGAACGGACAGCCATGCAACAGATGTGCACAGAACAGGGTGAAAAAGATCACCTTGTATAGATCATCTATGTGCATAATTTCTGGTACATGTAAGATGATGTATGACTTGGTAAATTTCTTAAAAGCACATAGTATTATGAAAAACAGCGAATTGACGGCTTGTTAACTTGTGCAAGCTTGCTAAATTTTCAACTTCTCCATTAAAACAAATATAATATTCCTACATAGTTTGCTGTGTAGGTACAACTAGTATAAGTACATACTAAGGTACTTCTGGTGGCATTAAGCCAAGAGGAGGGGCCTAATTTGTGTGTACAAGCCAAAACGGACAAATGCTGCTGACTCTAACTTTACCAGAGTTATTAAACTACCCGAAAAGTGCGGTCTGCATTTACTTCCCAATATTTATTTATTTATTTAAATTTTTCAAAAAGGACTGAACAGCATTCAGTGTGCAATAAAACCATGCACAGCAATTCATTAAATATTGTGCAACAGAATGCAATTACAGTTACAGTTCAGGCTAAACTTACCTCACAGTACTTCAGACCCTCAACTAACTGATCGTAGCAGCTCTGTCGTTGAATGAGGACATGGAAACGTATTGCATTCTGCACAAATGCATCTTTGTTGTTCATGCTGACTGGGTTCGGAAGACCCTCGATTTCATATCTCCATGAGTCACAGCCTTCCAGTGCTTGTTCCAGCTCATCTGTGGTTGCTGCCTCATCTACCTCAAGGTGCATAATGGAAAAAGTAAGGGAAAATTCATTCACAATTAAACTAAATGACATAGGAATTGATGTAGAAGCCAAGAAAAGCTATCAACACCCCTATATATCGTACCTTCTTCAGGTCTTCTCTCAGTGCCATGTCAGCTATGTCATCTGGAGTAACATTCACCTGAAAGCTGTTTCCTGTCAGAAAGTAGTCCACAACGAGAGGAGAAAGGAGAGCTGAAGGTTCACCACCCTGTACTATGATGGATGACATCATCTGTCCAATAGTGCGGTACACTCCTTTCTGTATATGAGAAATGTTCATTCTTGGAATGAAGCCTTTTGGAGACTCTGGAGAAAAGGACAAAAACAATTGTGCTTATATATTAAAGAGAAAGAGTAATTCAGGATATCATAAGCAGACCATTAACAATAAAATAATCCAAATCTTGGGAATATAAACAAACTCAAGAAAACGTGCATTATACTGACCTACTAGGCCTATGGGGTTAAAATATACCAAATTGAGAGGGAAACTGGGAACACATAAGTAACTACTTAGACCTTTATTAAATATGATTAGGGTTAGTGCACAATACTTAACCCCCCGGAGTCTAAGAGTATTTTCTTTTCGCATTTCACTGCTGGAAAGAGGGCCCCTCCATAAAACTGGGTTGTCTATGCAGGTGAAAGACATTATTTTGAGGGGCTGTGGTATAATCTTTGGCTAATACAGTAAAAAACCTACAACAAGAATACACAGTCTGGTTTGAAAGAGGAAACAGTAAGGCAGCCAGCTGGTTACAAACAATATTATACTACATCTAAACAGTACACTAAAATAAGTTGAGAACATTTTAGCAGTGAAATATACAATTAACAGGATTGTGGTTCTACAGTTTGACAAGTCTTTTCATCCTCCTTTTTCATAAGCAAAATGGTGAGCTCTTTTTGTTCACAAACATTCTCTATGGCAGCTAAAAGTATGCTTAAATGTGTTTCTGAAAACATTTTCGGTGACAGTGTAGCAACAGAACCTCTCTCTCAATTAGACTTTACTTTCTGTTCATGTAGGTGGGCATACAAAAATACGGAACAACCTGTAGTTGGTACAACCGTCCTACAGACGCCAGATGCCACATTATTTTTGCTGGCAAAAAATTAGGCTTCCTCTGGGTGCAGGCAAAATAGATAATAGTTCACCATTGTTCAGTTGCATATACTACCCACACTGCAGTCATAGACAGTTCAGATAGTTCAGATTCTGCAAAGTTTTCCTCTTAAATGTATACTATGCAGGATTTTCCTAAAAAGAAAAAAATAAGTTAAAAAAAAAGGTGGGGGAAAAAAAGAAAGAAAACAAAAGAAAAATCCAATCTCAATCATAAGAGATTTGTAAAGGGTTTGCATGATTGTCAGGCATACACCAATAACATGCTCACTGTTATCAAAATCAATATTTGGTTGGACGATGGACGCTACAGTTACAAACTGCAACAGGGATCTACTGCGTGTAGCAGTGTGGCAGGCAGCAGAGCTTCAGCACAGATTTAACCCCGATGCTAACTCAGAGGGAACCTAATAACGTTAATGATGGAAAAGGAGTTGGTTACCTCACTAAGAAGTAGGAGGTTGAAGGCTCTTCATCAAACAACTTCTTGTTTCATTCATTGTAAAACATATTCCATGACATAATTAAAATTAATCAGCTGTTAACAAATGTCAAAGCATTAACGATGAACACAGTGCTATCCTAACTAAACACAGCACATTTCCTGTGACAAGCATACATCCCGAAGTCCACTCATTTTATTTATTATTACCAGTTTTGTCAAAAGCTTATTAGTCAGCAGGAAAATGTTATCACCACAGCAATCCTACTTTGTAGGTCATCAATTACCAGCATTTTGCATTTGTGGCTCTCCCAACCCAAAGCACCCGAATCTAACAAACTGGGAATAAGATTCAATCATCTTGAATCGCTTATTGCACCTTTGAATGTCTGTCTTACAAATCCTGGATAGTATTCCTTTAAGGGCAACAAATGAAGGTCTAATTAGTTATGTATGTTACCCAAACTTCAAGAGGGCAATTTACCCAGTATTTAGGAAAAAGTTTTTTTAACACCACAGTAGTACATTTAAAATGTAGTACATAACATTTACAAAAAAGGGCTACCCTCAAATGCCCCGCTCTCTTTGTAGATGGCTTTTACAAGAAGACGGAAGAATTCTCGCCGGGGTCCTCCAAGGTCTTCTGCATCTTCACTGGTGTCTTCGTCACTGGCAAAGGTGACGTACAAAACATCTGTGCTCTCAGCAAATCTTTGTCTGCTAAACTGTCGGAGGGCAGTTTGCCACACATTCCTTCAGCTGATGTAGATCGATCTGTAAGCTGTTGTGACAACCCTCTCACTGTGTGCTTTTATTATTCCTTGAATTTCTTCTTTGCTCAAAGTTTTTGCAAACCTTAAAAACAAAAAGAATCATAGCTATTACCACACACTGTTCCATAGTTCAAGCTCAGTTACTACAGAAACCTACGCATTGAAACTAGCCTGGCTAATTGTCAGGCTAAGCCCGAGTTGCTGTTTAAAACAAGTACCTGTAATACTGAGCGACAGAGAAGCAATTCTTTTTCCACTGACTCTTTGACATGCAAACATATTGACTTCGTTAACCACCATCAGTCAAAAATTAAACTTTATTAGATGAATTAAATAAATTATACAATGATAAATGTATTGTAGCGTGTTAGGGGTAGATAGGTGGAATTTCCAGCATGCTTTGAGAAAATGTGTTTGAGAAAGACAGTTTTGCACCAAATTGACCAATGGGAAACCATTTAAAAAGTGAATAGGTTAATACATTTAAAATACTGTGAAGAAAAAGTTAACTTCGATGTGTTTAGTGTATAATTTCTAATAAATTCAATAAATTCCTTTAAATAAAGGACCTCAACACAAGTTGTAATTAACAAGAATTGAAATGGTAAAATAACCTTTGACAAACAGGGTAATATATTCTTCAAATATTATTAATAAAGAAATAGTACAGCTATATAAGTACTTTAATTGCCAGTGGGCAAAATTACCATTTTGAAAAACTTAAATTTTCACCTGCAGACTAATTTTTTCCTTACTTTGCGAAGGGTTGCAGAGTTGACTAGAACCCACATCCCTGGCTAGAAGTCAATCTCAGTATGTGAAGAACTCACTTCACCGGTTGAGATACTGAGTTGTTCAAGGTGCATGATTGCATTTTAAGTTAGTTTGCTCAGCATAGACTCTCAGATTTTATTTTTGGCAGCAGTATTATGATTTTTGATTAGATTATTAAATTCTCATAGGTTTTCTAAAATAAGTGCTGCTGTGTATGTGGACATCAGTGCTCGCTCTTTAACACTGCTGTTTGTCATGGTGGATTGGTTTGCTCTGTACTTTACCTCACTGGCTGCTTCTGAAAAGCATGCACATGCAATTGGACTTTAATAACTGAACCACTTTTGAATTAGTTAGGCTGTATGAGCTTCATGGATTGAGCTTTATGGACTGCTTTAGCCTGGACTGATTTTGTTAGGCTGGTTCAAGTCAGGAGTTTGACTTTAATTCTCACTTTAGTTAAATAATCTTAGCTTATGCAAATATACCTTGAATCCTGGAAGGACTGCACAGGCTCTTCAGAAAGACTGCGTCTGATGGCCTCCTCAATAGCATCATCTTCCTCAGCATCAATAAGACTAGAAATTCCACATAAAAGGATATAAAATATATATTCTGTAAAATGAAACAGCGTAAAATGTAACATTACTATATATATAAAAACCTTAATACATATAATAGTACATGAAATCTGTAAAGTTAGTAGTAGCTTCATTTGGCCGTTGCTGTGCGTGTAAATCCATTCCATCGTCAGATGGTGCACTGGTTTCAACACCCTGTTGCTTCTCACAGTGGTCCTGCTGGGTTGTAGACGGTACATATCTCTGAGTCACTATATGAAGAAAATCTATTTAGCAAGACTTAGTAATAACAACCATGAAATAAGTCACCAATTTATGACTTAAAAAAAAAAAGAAAAAAAAAATCAGATTAGCAATTTACCTCAAGAGGTTGTTATTTATGTTGATTTTGGCTCAAATGGGGGAAGAGAACAAAACAAAAAACAACAACAAAAACCTACCTCTCCTTAGCTGTAAAACTGGGCTTTCAAAATCACTGTTATCAGATAGCTCCACAAACATGTTCTGCACAAAAGAAAGATGTGAAATATGTATGTAAAAGTAGCAGTTTAAACAGTTAGTTAGAAAGCGAAATCTTTTAAGTTTGACACATTATCAGATAGAGAAATTACAAATTCTTTTAAGTATGGGTAGCATGCAGTATCTTGTGGTAGACTAGGATGTAGGGGATGATTCAGTGATTGATCACACTGAACTATGAGTGTGTCCTGTCCCATGTCCAGTAATGGAGTAGCTGCCCTGGGGCCTGTTCTATAAGGCAAGATTACCAAACAAGCTAGGCTTATTTAATTAGTCTGACTTTTCCAAATGACTTGTTTCCATAAAGTGAGCTCAGCTCAGTTCAAGCTCAAAAGCTGAAGCTCCAACTTATGCTGGAAAACTACACTAGCCTGGTCCTGGCAGACCAATTGTCAATAGAGATGTTGATTGACCAAAGTTCCTGTAACACTGACCTGACAGAAAAGCAATGATTTTGCCACTGACTCTTTCATGCAAACATATTACTTGACTTTATTAACCAACATCAGTAAGAAAAAAAACATAAAGTTTATAGTAAATTAACTTAAATTGTATTTCTAATAAAGAAAAATACAAATTAGCACAACGATAAACGTATTTTATCTTGTTGGGGTAGGTAGGCGGAGTTTCCCAGCATGCATTGAGATAATGTATTTGAAGCCATAAGCCAAAGTAAACTGCTTGAATGTGTTCTAAATAACCACAAATGTCACCTGTTGTAATTGGTGATGATGTTCTTCACACTAATTCCACAAATATTTTTAAAGAATTACAGTTACTGTTGTGGTAAAAGACACATTTGCACTCGCAGTCGTGGATTGAGCTTTATGGAACCACACCAGGCTAGATTTTTTTCTTAGGCTCATTCAAGTCTAGAGTTGAGACATTACTCCCCGCTTTTCTGAGCGGGCTTAATGAAACAGGCCCCAGGTCAATGAAAATGTAGTGTCTAAAAAAGTGTGCACTACAAAGAACTGTAAGCTGGTCAGGCCCATCCTCACCTGTGCTGGAACCTCCATTCTTGCCATGATGTACAGACATGTGCTTGAGCAGAGAGAGGCAACTTCTTTACCGCCCCAAGGGAAATTAGATGAGACCTTGGGTATCATCAGTTTTTTACACCCCTTGATAGTGCTCAAAAACTGGAATGGTAACAACTGGTGCTCTGATAACCCAAATGCTCCTCTGAAGATAGCCGTTATTTCAACTCGCAGTTGGTCTTCAGACGATTCTGTGGAAAATGAAATTTTTCCAACAAGGCCATTCTGCGCTAACTTGGTCCGAGTTTCTCCTCTGGGTATAACGAAGACAGATGCCTCTGGTGAAAAAGGCAAACATACAATTTCCTTTGTGTATGTTTTGACATGACTTCGATTGATGTACTGCGATCGGGCCCCATTACGTCGAGGGATGGATGGCAGGGGGGCCTATAAAAAAAGCAGACCGAGAGATTTTCCTTAAAGGGGCACATAGCAATCCTGTTAAAAGTAAAGCTATAACGAACTGCATATACAGGACAGGCCTCTAGGCTGACATATAGTGTTACGGAAGCAATTTTTCACACACAAAATGTAAGAATTATATGGATGCCACTTAAGGATCATTACATGCCAACCAACCAGAATTCAGAACTTTTCCCAGTTGATGACAAGGATTTTCTTGGAAAATCTGATGTTAAAACTTCTATGAAAGAAAAAACAAACAAAAAAACTAACTATTTAAATGAATTCGTGTTGTCAAGTATCCTTAGGGTCTCTTGGATATTCAGTCCAAGTCCAATTTATTCCAAAAATGAGCGATAGGTGAGGCTTAGATTACACGTACACAGAATGACAAAAATTACCTCAGAGTGCCAAAATAAAAAAAATACATAACTTAGAAAGTATTTGATGTAAAGCTTTAATATTTTTGAAAGGTCTCATGAATTTCATGGATGTTAAAGTACATTTCACACTACTAGCACACAATTTACACAAACCAACTATGACCTATGTTGAACTCTGTGTCAGCCAGAATAGATTTTATCAGTGCTAAAAGTTTCGACTCCCCTCCTGAACTGCGCTCAATGTATCTGTTGTGATTCCAACTTGTCCTATGTTGTCAATCCGCATCTTCGCATCTTATTGGCAATATCATTTACTTGTGTGTGTGTGTGTGTGTGTGTGTGTGTGTGTGTGTGTAGGGGAGAGGCAGTATTCTACTGGGCAGTACACTTGTAGAACAATTTGAAGGCAATGTAAAATAAAAAGATGAAATTAGAAGATGACATTTCAACAACTGCATTTTCAAATGTGCCCCTTACACCTGGAAAAACTGATGTGATGAAAGGAAATGTATGGCTCCAGCAGAATTTGTTGACATTAAGCTCAATGTATGTGTTTCATGGACAATTACGAGTGACAATAACTTTTTCTAGCTAATATTTCTCAACTTCACTTACTGATCTCACTGATGCGACCGTGGTGGCAAAGCTGGACGTGCTGGTGGGCGCCGCTGGAAGTGCCTGTGGGTTACTGTGTGGTGCGGTGACCTGAAACAACATCCCATACTGATAATTTTAACACTACAATATTAAATGTCAGCTAACAGTGAGCCAGAACATAAGCTCCATAGAGCACTTGGTTTTGTTACCAGCAGGACTCAACACTAACTTTTCCCACGCAAGCTGATGAGCAGTTGTCTTATTTTGCATGCCTACATTTTACATGCCGTAAAAATCGACAGTGACTCAACCCAGAGATCTGCAAATCATTTTAATCTAAATATTTAGTTGAGTGACGCTGCTTACCCGCCAACATGTCGGCCAAATAAAAAATCTAAGGCAACAGTAATGATCGTCATGCATGCAAAGCTAGCTGACTGTTTGCTAGGCTAGGTGAACCGGCGCCTCAGCAGGCAGGATCCTGAAGCGGTTTGAGAGCTCCAGGCCAGAGTGTGATCCTCCACCCGAGTCTCTCGTTCCGCCTCGAACCACATCCGTCCAGAGCGGCAGGTGTGCAGGCCGGTTTGGTGTGGAGCTGAGGACCGGGACCTTGGGCTTAGCTCCAGTTATGATCCAAGAATCCTCTGGCCAGGCCGGAGCAGTCGCTGGTGGTAGAGACGCCTCCAGGCCCCTGGTCTCAACAGCAGCTGCAGCAGCAGCACCACCACCACACGCCACCCTCACCACCGGTCCACATCCAGACTGACCACTCTCTACATTTGATGGACAAGCACCAGAGGTGCTGTTGTCGAGTGCAGTCCTTACACACAGCCATGATGCCTCTTAATACAACAATAGCTCAAACAAACTTTCTGATGTGTGTGTCCTACTTTGCGGCCTCACATCTCAGCTCTCAATTAGATACAATATGTAGGCTCTATAGGATAATTGTTTTTACTTAATAACCATCATGTTTTCCCAAATGTTTTACAGCTTTTTAGGCATTTTAGTTTTTTAAATTAAATTAGTAACATAACCAAAATTTAAGGATTTCTGAGTTCTTGACGTAGCAGAGGTTGACTATTCATTCACTCTTGTGCAATATTGAAGAGACAGCAGGTATGATTCCAACATATTTATTCAAAAAGAAAGCAAAGCAACAAAACACACACGTTCTAAGTATATACAAGCATGGCTGTGTGTATGTGTGTGGGTGAGAGAGAAAAAAGGTGTGTGTGAAACAAAGGCTGTCTGGCCTACAAAACAAAATGGCTGACAGAAAACTACAAGCTGGCTGAATCAAAGATGGCTTCCGACTGGGGGATGTTTTGCCTGACAGTGTGGCCAGTTAGGACAAAGACAAAGGAGATAAAACAACTTTGAGTCTCCTCTTTGGGTGTAGCTTTGCGATATGTGTTACAAAGGGTCTGGGTAAGTACAGAGGATGTTTAGTTGCATGCAAGACTCTGTAAAGCATCAGCAAACTAATATCACTTAGCTTTGGTGAAGCCAACTAACCAATAACCTAACTGCAAACAATCACAATAATAACTCTGAACAGCATTAAATCACAATTGACAAAGTTAAGTCATGCTTAACTTACAGCTTACAGCTGTAATTATGCTATGCCTGTCAGAACTGAGCACAGTGGTTGGACCCAAAAGCACGACCAGATAGACACGTTCAAAGTTAACAGAGTTTATTTAACACTTCAAAAATACTGAATAGGGGTTCCTGGGGAGCTGGCAGGCCCGAAGGAAACAGGCTGGGGATCCAGCGGGAGGGGTCAGACAAGAGATGTTGGTCAGGCAGGCAGAGTCAGAACCAGGAATCCAGAGAGTAATGTAGAGGTACAGACCAGAGACAAGCAGAGGACGGTTAACGAGGCAGGCAGGGTCAGAACACAGGTTGGGCAGGAATCTTGGCAGAGGTATAGATGAGGAGCAGACGAAACAGGGTTACCGTGAGAGCAGGCAGGATCATACACAGGATGAACAGGGAACTGGCGATGGTACTGACAGCGAACAGGCAGGTCTCAGGAAACGGGTCACAAACAGATCTCTCACAGGAAGGCAGGCAGAAAACACTGTTAAGTATCTCTCTCTGGAATCGATAACAAACTGGCAACGGAGACAGGGGAACACAGGGCATATATACTGCAGGGAGGCAGGTTAATGAGACACAAGTGAAACACATTAGGGAGGAGGGAGGCAATCACACAGGAGGAAGTAAAGACACCAGGCATGACACAGGAGGGATAATACCAAAATAAAACAGGAAATGACAAGACAAACACAAAACACTAACGTCTGAAGGAAGTTGTGACAATGCCCACTTGTTACATTACCAATCCTTGAATGGATGGAGGGAAAAATAGATGCTGTGGTGTGCTTTTGGTAGGCGCTATTGGAAGGCTGGAAAGAATGGTGGTTCCAGAAGCTGTCTTTGTTTCCCTTGTCTTTGTCTCTTGTTGCAACCCAGTATCACGGTGAAGCGTGTAATACACCCACCGGTCCATAGGGGATTACGTGTCAGGGTCACGGTTTACCTCGCCTAGGCGTGTAAAAGACACGCCTCCTTGAAGTTGCAGTACCAGCAGGGGGCGATCATTTTTTCAGATGCCTAAGGACCCACTTTTTTCAAGGACCCACGAAAAATGTACAGATCATTCCCAGCCCCCTCTGCGCCAGGTAAGATGATGATACATGCTTGATTTCTTTATTTTTTTATTCGTTTATGGCTTTTGTCTAAGATGTTTGAGGTTGACTGTGAGTTTTATAATGTTAATTACATTTCATTAGGTGGTAGAGCCGAAGGTCGTCAGGAGAAGTAGCCTAATGTTACCGTGTCTGGAGAGGTAATCCTGTCCAGCTAGCTCTTTTAGCATTTATGCTAGCTTTACAGCTACCATCAGCTGAAAAAGTTGTCTCTTTTATAGCTTTATGTTAATGTTTGATAAAGTAGAGGAAGTAAAAGCAACGCCTGGGTTACTGTTAAGTCTGAACATATTACAGGACGCTGCGTGGACGTGACGCAATCCAACCCACCAGAGTCCTGTCATCTTTTTTATCAATTTAGGTCCATTTAAAAAGTCCTAATGTTGTTTTAAACTTCCTGTAACGTTATATGTGCGTGTGTGGACTGTGGAACTCGTTTTGACGTTACTGTTAAGTTGCTGATAAATGAATTAATGGTATAGCAGGTTAATAAACAGTCGCTCCGCAGGCATCATCTGTCACTATAGCAACNTGTCAGCTAACAGTGAGCCAGAACATAAGCTCCATAGAGCACTTGGTTTTGTTACCAGCAGGACTCAACACTAACTTTTCCCACGCATGCTGATGAGCAGTTGTCTTATTTTGCATGCCTACATTTTACATGCCGTAAAAATCGACAGTGACTCAACCCAGAGATCTGCAAATCATTTTAATCTAAATATTTAGTTGTGTGACGCTGCTTACCCGCCAACATGTCGGCCAAATAAAAAATCTAAGGCAACAGTAATGATCGTCATGCACGCAAAAGCTAGCTGACTGTTTGCTAGGTAGCATCCGAGTCACGTTAGCAAGGTATCTTAGCGATGAATAAATGAGTTAATGCTAATATTAAAACTTGACTTACCGTTAATGATGGGGACGGTACCGGTTGAACTGCCCCTTTAAGTGCAGCCCGCACACCCGCCAAAACCGCCCGTTCAATATCCTCTACTTGCAGGGAAACGGCCATGCTTGAGTCTCGATTATCCCTGCGGCCCTCTTTCACCTACTGATCCCTGATCAGCGGTGTGGACGTGGTTGTGCGCCCGTTGCCTTTAAGGGACGTAGGATATTTGCAGATTTTCTAAATATTTAGCTTTACACTCGGCGAGACATTTAGATTTAGATTTAGATTTAACATTTAGATATAACATTTAACATTTAGATTTAGATTTAACATTTAGATTAAGATTTATTATTTAGATTTAGATTTAACATTTAGATTTAGATTTAGATTTATTATTTAGATTTAGATTTAGCATTTAGATTTAGATTTATTATTTAGATTTAGATTTAACATTTAGATTTAGATTTAACATTTAGGTTTAACATTTAACATTTAGATTAAGATTTAATAAAATGAGCTAAATGTGAAGAAAATGAACTAAATATTGAAAATATATCAGTTTGAAAACTGTAATAAAGTTTTTACATTTGGCACCCCATACGTCTCCCCCTCAGGAAGATCGCACTGTGCCTGTGTGTGTAGCCCATAGCCCCGCCTCCCCCACAGAGACAAAGACACTTGATGACATGAGCTTTCCCTCCGTTCATTACGCTACTGAACCAACTCACCTGGCTGCCAGACGATGCATGGCAGTGAACGCTCTTGTCGTTCAGTCTCTTTGGTGGAGAGAGACGAGGACAACAAACACGCATGAATATGGCAATTAATCCCATGTTATCCACCGTCTTTGTCTTCTCTTCTTTTTGTTTTATGGTGGTACCATCTTTGTCTGGTCGCAGTGCAGGAAAGGTTCCACACACTGGGAAACGAGCGACGGCTGTGATGCGGTGGTTGGGGTCAGGCCAGGGTGGCCAATAGGGTGGCCAGGATTCAGCGTGAGGTGGCCACGGCCACCCCCTGCCACCCCACACCTCCGCCATTGTGTGTGACAGTTCAGGACTTAACCACGATAAAACATTATCTTTATGAGGTTAAATGAGTTTGCAGCTGTAATAATAATAATAATAATAACGCATTTGATTTGTTAGGGCGCCTTTCAAGCCACTCAAGGTCGCCTTACAACAAAGATAAAAAAGCATACATCAAACAAGAAACACAGCATACAAAACATCATACAAATACATTAAAATAGAGGGGAAGACAGTAAGACAGTGTAAGAACATAGTGCATTTGATCAGATGGAATGGGCAAGTCTGAACAGATGTGTTTTGAGTTTGGATTTGAACAGATTGACAGATGTGATATTGCGGAGGTCAGGGGGGAGTGAATTCCAGGGCTGGGGAGCAGAGTGGCTGAATGCTGTGCTCCCCATGGTAGCCAGGTGGGCGGGGGGAACGGAGAGGTGGATGGAGGAAGAGGATCTGAGCGTGTGTGCGGGTGTGGCAATGTGGAGGAGGTCAGACAGGTATGGAGGGGCGAGGTTGTGAATGGCCTTGAAGGTGAGCAGTAAAATCTTGTATTGGATACAGTGTATGATGGGGAGCCAGTGGAGCTGCTGCAGGACAGGTGTGATGTGGTGAGTGTATGGGGTCCTTGTGATGATACAAGCTGCTGAATTCTGTACCAGTTGTAGATTATGGAGAGTTTTTTTGTGGAAGACCGAACAGGAGGGAGTTGCAGTAGTCAAGCCGGGAGGTGACGAGACTGTGGACCAGAATGGCAGCTGTGTGAGGTGTGAGAGAGGGGTGAAGGCAATTGATGTTGCAGAAATAGAAGTAAGCTGACAGGGATATGTGGTTGATATGAGAAATGTAAGAAAATGTACTGTCGAGGATGACACCCAGACTCTTGACCTGTGGGGAAGGAGAAATGGAAGAGTTGTCAATAGATAATGTGAAACTGGGGGATTTGGATAGAGTGGTTTTAGTGCCAATGAGTAGAATTTCTGCTTTGTCGCTGTTTAATTTGAGGAAGTTGGATGAAAACCAGGATTTTATTTCAAGGAGGCAGTCAGTGAGGGAGGAAGGTGGGAGAGTGGAGTCGGGTTTGGTGGAAATATGGAGCTGGGTGTCATCCGCGTAGCAGTGGAAGTGGATATGATGTTTCTGGAAGATGTGAGTCAGTTATGAGCCAACGTATTTCATTAAAAACACACACACACACACACACACACATATATATATATATATATATATATATATACACATATATATATATATATCTTACCCTAGCTAGCTGAGGTTAGCAGGATGAAATTGTGATGCTAAGAGCCTGTTCTTTACTTGTCAGAGGAGGGGGTTGGAAAAAACCCTTGGTTTTTCACTTTTTTCATACATGCTGGTTAGTTTGTGTAAATGGTTTATTTGGGGCCAAATTTTAAATGAGACATGTAGAATAAAGTGAGTTTTACGGAAGACGAGAACGGCCATGTATTTTTTATTTTTTTGTGCACTGTTATCTCGTGATAACGACTTAATATTTTGTTATCTCGATATAACAAAGATTAGAAGTCGTTATCACGAGATAACAGTGCACAAAAAAAACAAAAACATGGCTGTTCTCGTCTTCCGTAGAGTTTGACTAAATATCACTATTTAAAACTCAGAGTTGGTTATGAGGTTTTTTTTTTTCTGAAGGAAGTGTTTGTCCCATCATGTGTCCAAGGACCACTGGAAATTTGAAAAATAAATGATAATTTCTATTTTTACAGTTTCTGGCCTTGATAAAAAGTGCAATTTTGTCAATTAAAAAAAAACAAAAAACAACTTACCTTCCAAACCTGCATTTTCTTTTGAAATTGGTGGTAAATTAAATGCAAAATACAACCATTTAGAGTTGTATGCCCCTCCCCTAAGCCAAAAAAAACAACAAAAAAAAACACCATTAATCCCTCTCTAGCGCTTAAAAAATTATTAAACATGTCTCCCCCATTTTTCACCACCCCCTCCCCTCTCATAAAAACCAAACAGTCCCTTTTTGGGTAAACCCAATTCTTCCTGTAACTGAAGAAAAATCTCATTAAAAAACAAAGCAAAACAAAACAAAACAAAACAAAACAAAAAACTTAATTTCCATCAGAAAATATTCCAGACATCTCTCACTAGTTAGGCCGACATAGGCCTAGTCTGCCAGGGGACCTCCTATAATACACCGAGCACCTTCTCTCCTTCTCTCTCTCTCCTTTGCTAACACTCATGTCCTTTTACTGCATGTCACTAACTCGGCTCTACTGCATGTCACTAACTCAGCTTCTTCTCCGGAACCTTTGTGCTCCACTGTCTTGCAGGTTCATAGCGCAGTGGTGCCTGGATGGTGTGCGCATGAGGTTGTGCTGCTGCCGTGGTCCTGCCAGATGCCTCCTACTGCTGTTATCATTAGTCATAACTCTACTGTCATTATACACATATGATTATTGTCACATACATATGGATATATCAATATATACCTACAACATATTGTACAACAATAGCCAGAATTATAATTATAATATTATTACTTAAATTATTGTTGTTGTAAGCTATTGACCTATGGCTAAGTCCCGCCCTCAAACGCGATGAGCCAATCACAGTGCGTATAGCCATTCACATACACTCGGACATTCTCTGTCTGGACATTCATTGAAATGCATTACAGAAAGTCAGTTTTGTTCGGTTTTATGAGCTTTTTTGGAGATTTGAAGTTTAAAAATGGTCAATTGGTGTGCATGGGGTACATGCAACTCCGACACAAGGTATCCTGAGAGGCTGGGCGACAAGGTGTATTTTTTACACTTTAAACCACATCTCAAAAGAGAAAAATGTCTCCTTTGGATAAAGTTGTGTGGTAACGTTAGACCACAACATCAACTCAACGTGAATAAGATTAGCAATGATGTCTGCATCTGTTTTAAGGTAAGTCAACATTGTGTTTGAGGCAACATATTGTCACTTTGCTGGAAAGAAATATAAAGTTATCTTTAACATCTCTAGCTAACGTTAGCTAAAGTTAGCTCCTAGCTGTGTTGTCCATCATGTCACCTTGTTTGCTGGGAGTTCATTAGCCTATTTTGTTCTAGTTTTGTACTTTGGTGATCGTACATCATTGTTAGCTGTTGTCCAAAGGGCTCTAGTTAAGCTAACGTTAATGTCTGGAGCTTAGCTTCATTAATTTATCTGTAATCGCAGAGATAACAAAGGTTGGCAAACGTTATGCTGAATGATTCAGTGTAAATACTGTAGCACCAAACTAATGGAGAGACACTCTTGGTAAAGATGGTAAAAAGGCTGTTATCCTTTTCTCATATTCTGAGCCAAAAACC